TTATAGAGGAAACAACCCTCTGAGGACTCCTCATTATTGAACATGAATTCGTAAAAAAAGGACTTAACTTTATTACTAGTATTATATTAGTCCCACCATTAAACATTTAAACATGAATTTAACCTTTGTCCGACCCATTCTCCACTTCCGCTCAAGCTAACATAGATTACCTCTATTCAATTTAAGATGATTGATCATGTTTTTCAATGGACCCATTCCTATTACACTAGTCAAAGGTACAATATGATTGATGGAGATGTAGCAATCAAATCACCAGTGGTGGAAAAGGCAATAGAACATGCACAGCCAAACGTACAAATTTGGCACTGAGAGCTTCAAAATCCTTTCAATTGCATACAATAAGTTTGCTTTCAGAGGATGCTGTGAATTTTGTACAATTGGATTGATATACTACAAAAATAGCAACAACAAAAAACAAAAAACAAAATGTCAAGATAACGTCTGAGATAGGAAAGCAGGGGGAAAAGATGAAATTTAATAAATAAAAGGAACAGACATTGGTGTAAACCACTCAAACAGCAAGAATTCAGAAATATATGACCCCCAACCAAGATCCCAAAACAAGACTGCTAACCTCACATAACCATAACCTCACATAACCAAAGCCAGCAGTGGAATTCACATCTGAGTTTAAAATGAATGACCATCTGAATAATAGGGTGGTCTTTCTATTTTACATCTGAATTTTACATTTCAGTAAGTGGTCTTTTGTTCTAGCTAAGAGTTTCCTAATCTATAAGTCTAAATGCAGCAGAAGATTGTTAAAAATAAAATTCTAACAAGGATCAATCTCACATCTTGTATTATTCACAAATACTTCTTCAGATGATTAAACTTGAGGAAATCTTTAACACATTACTACCAATAAGATTCCAGTAACACCACTAATCTCAGCTATTAAACAATTTTAGAATACAGATAATGTATAAGAAATTAATTAGTGAAAAAATACATGTAATTGATTAATACGAAGTATAGTATATCACAAAATCATATAGCTGGGATGGTATGGTTGTAAAATCGTATAAATTGCTAAAAACAAAAAAAAAAAAAAAAACAGAAAAAAAATCGGAAACAATCAAAATCATGAACAATCGGAAAAAAAATCGAGATTAGCTTGAGTAAGTATAAATTTACCTTCAACTTAGCTTGAGAGTAGCTAGAGAGAGATTGAAAGAAGGTGCTGAGCTTGGAGATTGGAAGAAAGAACTGGAAGAAAGAACTGGAAGAAAGAAGCTAAGAACGAAAGAAGAAAGAAAGATGGGAAAAAAAAAAACTTATATATGACGGCTGAGAATCAAGGAAGAGAAGGAAGCTAGGGTTTTTTTCTTATTTTGGGAGGGAAATTCTAACTCAAAATATCTAAATTCTAAATCTAAAATTTGTTTTTCCTTTTGGTTTTTGGAGGGAAATTTCCCACCATTCATATTTTGAAGAAATTGTCAACCAAAAAATAAAATCAATTTTCCACTTTGTAATAATCAAAATTTTTAATTTTTGTTTAACAACATTAAACAAACTTTTATACAATTGATTAATTACATGGTTTCAAAAAAAAAAACTAATTACATTTCTCGAATCCCGATAAAACGATATACACCTACATAATATCAGTTTTTAATTTTTTATAAATTTTTTTAACACACACATTAAAATATTAAGTTCTTTAGATTATAAAATGTGAATCAGTTAGCGTGTAAATGTCTAGCGTTGCAATTAATAAAAAAATCGAAGACCGTTTAATAATATAATGACGTCATATCTTAGAGAGCTAGTAATATTACGGATTTGTACGTATAAGCAATACACTTGTAATCGTGTAAACTTATAAATGATATAATTGACTAGTAGATTAGTACATAAATACAAATTACTTAATTAGAAATGTGTTATGACTACATGAGTGATTGACTAATATCGTAATATGACTATATAGTATATAAGCAATTGTCAATTTAGCATAGCTGCATAATAGAATAATAGTGTACTGGACTATCCTACTCGGTAATATACTAATACCATTTCAGTATTTGATATGTTAGACTTAAGTTAAAAGTTAGTCTTTCTTATTAACTTGTTAGTCTAATTAAATAATTACTAATTACTAATTAGTGACTTAAGCCTTAGGGGTAAACCAGTAAAGGATATAGAATCAATATTACCTTCTTCTTCATTAATGTGTTCTTTCATTATATTGTATAAATCAAACTACTTTGTAATATCTTCATATATAACTTTATGCAAATATATAATGATAAACGAGCCTTAATTATCAGTCTTGTTGACTAATTAAGAATCGAATACCAAATTGCAAATTTCGATGTTACAACAACTCATCAAATCATGATTATGACACTGTTAACTAAATGATCAAATCAGAAGCAGATAATAATCTGATAGTAAAACAATAATACATTAATGCACTAAACTTTTATAATCTACTTCGTAATAAACTAGTAAGATCAGTATGGCTAAACTTGAATCATAACATGATATGTATTTATAAAAATAATGAGAATTTGCATATAATATGATGCCTCAATATGAAGTGATGAAGTCTCGGCTTGATATAAAACTTGTTAACTAGCAAAAAGTTAGAAAGTAGTACAAAATTTTTTGAAATCAAAAACAGATCTAGACTCGAACCGTAATTTAGTAAATCTGAAATAAAACCGATCTAAATAATGTTAAATCATAGAAGAACCAAACCCGTGAACGAACCGAACCAGTTATAACCGAACTAAAATAAAACTACACCAAAAAAGAACCGAACCGTTTCCAACCTGAAACTGTTTGAACCGGTATAATCACCATTTACACCGAACCATTAATAAACCGCAACCCGTTTGCACCAAACCGTTTACTACCGGGACTATTTACAACCCGTACCGTTTACAACCCGAACCGAATTTAAACCGAGTTAAAAAACCGTTTACACCAAACCGTTAACAAACCGCAACCCGTCTGCATCGAACCGTTTACAACCCGGACTGTTTACATCCCGGACCATTTACAACCCGAACCAAATTTAAACCGGGTTAAAAACCGTTTACACCAAACCGTTAACAAACCGCAACCCGTCTGCACCGAACCGTTTACTACCCGGACCGTTTACAACCCGAACCGAATTTAAATCGGGTTAAAGACCGTTTACACCGAACCGTTAACAAACCGCAACCCGTTTGCACCGAACCGTTTACAAACCGAACCGTTTAGAACCCGAACCGAATTTAAACCGTTCAAGAATAAACCGAAACCGAACCGAACCGATAATTATTTAAACCGAACCGAAACCGACCCGTTAGACATTTAAACCGATTTCAAACCGACCCGATTTCAAACCGAACCGATTTCAAACCGAACCGAAACCGAACTGTCAAACCGTTTTGACAGTGCTAACTATATCATATGGAGTACTTCGTAATACTTTACACAAAACCATTTCGGAGCCCCTATTTACGAGCTACGAGTATATAGCCTATGCTCGACCAATCACTATTGCCTTCTTGAGAAACAATTTCTTGCAAGTAATGTTCTGCAAGACCATATTTTTTTTACTAAAATTAGAAAATCCAACTTATGCAAGATTAAACACGGTATACTGCTTTTCCCTAAAAAAAATGGTATACTGCTTTTTGAGGTGCAATGAAGAAAACAAAGTGACATTTGACTCGGCCAATTAATTCATCAAGCTCTAACCATATTTTTTTCTTCTTCCAAAAATCTAACAATAACCAAATGAAATAGCAAATTTAAAACTCAAATTCAACTCATTAATTCTCAAAAATGCAATAATATCTACACTTGAATACAATTGAAATCAATCTAATAAAAAGTATCAAACATTTCAAATGTAAAAAAACAAAACGCACTCCTCATCAATCAACAAAAGAAAAACGGAGCAAAGATTCATCAATTGCCAGAGCGATCAAAATAAATAAAAAATGAGGAAAAAAAAAATCTGGAAAAAAAACCCTCTAAAATTATCAACTATCATTGACAATAAGTTATAATCAGATTTTCATGCTTCACTAATTTGATCGGCAAAATTCAAAATCACACTAAGGAATAAGGATCTCAGTCGCTAAGAACTAACAAGAGAAGAGTTAAACAACTAAAAAACAAATCGATTAACAACAATCAACAAATCGATTTATAACTAGTAAAATAATTAAATAGGCAATTTAACCTAGCCAATTGAAAAACAAAAATAGAGAAAGAGGCAGAACAACTTACCTTCAACTAAATAATAGATTCTGGAACTTGAATCACATAGATCCAGACAAATTATAGCATATTTAATGACAAGATCGAATCGCATGAAATTCAGGCAAATAAAATTTCAGAAACCTAAGTACCTCAAATCATGCAAAAAATAGCGAAGTTAACACAAAGAACTCACCTGATAATAGATCGTAGAGCTGAGAAATTGCTGAAAATCAAAGTAATTGAAGCTGGATTTGAAAAAGTAGCATGAAAATTGGGGGAAAAAATCTCGACCGTAAGATCTGATGGGTCAATGGTAGATCACAATCTACGGTTAAGATGTCATGTTTTTAGTTTTAGCTTAAGGTTGGTTTTCACATGATCCAACTCCTATATATATATAAAGTGCATATAAATAAAACCCGCTAATTTAAGCTAATGAACTGCTAATTCAACCAGTAGCAATTAAATTTATACATACAGACCAAAATCCAGTTAAGCAATCTTACTCTTAATAAAACCGCTAATTTTGTGAACAAGTAAAAATAAAAAGTTGCACTACTTTAAGTTGCTAATGTGTACGGTATGTCCGAAATATTGATAAAATGAAGCGTAATTATGAAATTTGGTCATTTTTGCGCATTTTCTAAGGAAATTGCTCATCTAAGGAAATTGCTCATCTATATAAAATAAATAAATAAATTTAGAGTTTAAAATAAAAAATGAAATAGGGAAAAAAAAAAAAAAAAGAGAATTTAATCAAAAGGGGCATTTGTTTTTATTGTTTGACCTAGTACTGCAAACGTGAAACATGTCTTCCATAACTCCGGTGTGTGCGTTAAAACATTTTTTCTTTTTTGTTTGTTTTGTTTTTATTATTTTAGGAAGTAAAATATATTTTCCAATCATTCTCTTTTTTTTTTTTTTTTTTTTTTCAATCCACTAAAAGCTCCAGGTAATCCAAGACAGCACATTGAATCTGGACAATGAGAAAACAACAACGTAATATAAAAAGATGGGTAATTTTTTTGGTACCAGATGATATATTGTCCCCCGTTCTTCCATAAACAAGTCAGTATGTAGTACTGACTACATAATACTATTTTAAAATGTTCGGGAAGAATTTTTACACTTTCTAGACTATTACAGAGGTGGAGAGAATATGGAAACAACATAGATTAATAGAGTATTTTAGTGAGCTTTGTAAATATTCACCTGTCTATGTGAGTTGGATTATGTGACAATTACCCCCAATGGAGAGGGAGTATGTACCATATCAATGAAACTGGACACTAGCTCGATGAGGAGAAAGTACAGATAATCAACTTTATCAGCTACAACCTATATAAGAGCAAGGCAAACAACAAATGTAAGCACACAAATGCTAGCTACATGTCGGGGAGAAAATTACAAATAAAGCAGCAGTAAATCCTTCACGAGCATATTCATGTAATATGTCGCAGCCTCAGTTCTCACATCTTTGAAGAATTTGGAGATACCGCTGTCTTGTTCATTGTATCACAAAGACGTTAACCTATAAATTTGTTATCTACATGATATGATTCTATGGATATTGCTATGAAAGGACCACCACAATGACAGCAACCAGTCCACTGACATTTAGACTAATTGAGCCATAAGAAGTTAGGATTTTATCATATAAAATCAAAATACAATCATAAATCATGAAGCTGCAGTGAACCAGCTCTGACTGTGACGGATCTAAAGGGCTTTAAAGACCAATCTTTCTCCTCCATATAGCTAAAGAATCCTTCAGATAGTTGCCTAACAAGGGAAAATCTATTTCACCAGATTACCTCTTTCAGAAGCCTATACAGCTTCGATTAATGGCCTTGGGAAGATGTAGTGACTGCTAGCCCATCAGTAACGTTGTCCATATGACTAATCATCCTAGTAACATTATTCTGTTCCAAAGTTTTATCTTAATTACTTAAAGAATAATTGTATTATATTTATAGGTATTTTTATATTGAAAAGAACGAAGATACAGGAATTATATGTTACTCCGTAATAACAGTCCCTAAAATTTGTTGATTCATAGGTCCCAAAAAAAAATCGCAAGTAAAATGCCAAGGAGTCCAGCATATATGTTAAAATCAATATTTTTTATCCATCACTCCATCAGGCAATAGATTTCCCAAGCAATTTAGATTTGAGAATGGGCTTACTTCAAATATACTCCCTCTGTTTTTTTTTTTTTTTTTTTTTCAATTTTTTTAGTTCATCTCATTTGCCTTTTATAATGTGAGTGCATACCTTTATATGATGAAGGGGGCCAATTCACCTAGCAATTGCACTGTGTGAGTGTGTCCAAGGTAGGACTTCTTAGAACTAAGCTCAACCTGCAGGGCAAATTAGCTGCAGAACATTTAGAGTGCAGGAAGAATAATATAAAATTGAAAGATAAAAACAACCCCTCACAATCAAATTACACTATGAAATATCCACAACACTGTGTACCATTCGCTGCACAGAGAATCTGACTGCCTTGAGAATGTTATTAATTAACTCGGAATCAAATTATCGTTTGACATTATCACTTAATGAATGAGTACACAATAACCTTCAATTGACCCACAAATATGATCATGTATCACAGTGATGCATACACAATGAATGCAACAGAGGTAGACTCTGACCACTTAGTCTTCATACAGCCAATATCTCTCTCCCTATCATCTCTTCGGGGCCACGAGCCACCATCATATACTAACAAAATTCCCGACCCTTAGTTCCTCTTATCATTGAAGGTGCTATAGTCTTCAGCTTCACTGTTCCAGATGTAGCCAGATCATACAATATTCCTCAGGATTTTACTTCTAATATAAAGTGCTATGGTCTAGTGGTTAAATCATTGGACTCTTAATCCAATAGCCCGAGTTCAAATCTCAGTGGAGGAACCTTCTTCTGCAAATATTCCAGCCTTCTAAAGCAGTACATCAAACATCAATAAAATTCACTTTGGTAATGAACCACAAGAACATATGTAGTTAAGATCAAGGAAAAAGATTCCTAACGATTATTGTATTATAAATATAGCAATATAATTCCAATATCCAGAATTTTATCAGTGGAACCTTCATAGGTCTAAGCAAATATTCTCAATTTTTAGTTTAGGGAGTCCAGAAGCAAAGGTAGGAGTGTTTCAAAAACAGCCTCTTGTCCACACTTAAAGGTTGGTTAAATCTACTCCTCAATTATTTCCTCGGTCATCCCGGCATCCCCTACCTTTATTATGTATTCTAAATTTTGCATCTTGGGGTCAAAACAATTGTGTTTTGCTCTGCTAATTATATTTCTTGAAGTCAGAACTCCTTTATTCCTATGGAACAAATTTCATCCTCTATTAAAACGGAGAGCTTGCATTATTTTATCAAATTTCCACACCTACCTCACCGTTGGTGAAAAGAGATTGGAAATCATATCACACACTTTGAAAATCAACTTTTCCTTAAGCATCAAATCAAAAACATGCAGCTTCAAATTCCAATACACCCCAGAAAACATCCTAATGTCTAATCTAACCAGTCCAAAGATTTAGAAGAGACGTGAGGGAAAGAACTACCTATAACCATTGAATGCTTGACAATTGCGTTTAAAAGAAGTCTCAAGGATATAATCTGTGAGCTATACAGGGTTTTCCAATAAAAGTTGTGGCTAAGCCGCTAAGGTATCCTTTCCTTTGTGGTTATGAATAGGCATGGAGGGCCTTGGGCAACCCCAAGAAGCTTCCCTTTGGATTTCATCAAGATTTTCCACTAACCTACAAGAGAATTTCACAAGTGAGATTATTGCCATCCATAGTCCCAAATAATTGATTGCTACCCTAGCGATACACGTGCTAGAATAGATGCGGAGATACTTGAATCTCTTTTCCTTCAAGGAACTCATCCTTGTATGTCAGCACAGGACTTGGCCCAGCATGATGGTGCAAGATGCCTCTATTGGCATAGACCTTGCTGCCTTAGCTTTGGACGATGTCTTGACACTAAATAATGCCTATGTCCCAAAAGGGCATTCGTGTACAAAAAAAAAACAATTTGACTACAACCACAACTAACCCAAAACCAAGCCAAAAACGTGCATATCAATTAATCAATCAATCAAAGCCTTAATCCCATAAGTGGGGTCGGCTAACATGAACCAAATTTGATTATTCCATGTAGTCATCGACATAAATCTTCCTCCTCCATCCCTTACGATCCAATGCTTCATCCTCATGCAAATCCATACACTTCATATCTTTCCTAACTCTTTCCAACCAAGTCATTTTTGGTCTCCCTCTCCCTCGTTTAACCCCTCCATGGTCCCACTCTTCCACTCTTCGCACCGGTGCACCTTCGGGTCTCCGTCTTACATGCCCAAACCAACGCAGGCGATTTTCCCTTAGTTTATGTGCAATGTCCGCCGCACCTACTTTCTTGTGAATAACCTCATTTCTGATTCTATCTCTTAGAGTGTTCCCACACATCCACCTTAACATGCGCATTTCCATAACCTCCATCTTTATAATGTGTTCCTTCTTAGAAGCCCAACATTCTGCACCATAGAGCAACACTGGTCCCGTAGAATTTTCCCTTCAACTGTAAGGGAATGCTTCGATCACATAACACTCCCGTGGCCGCTCTCCATTTAAGCCACCCCGACTTAAACCTGTGAGCCACGTCTTAATCAATGTCACCATTCTTCTCGATGATCGACCCAAGATACTTAAAACATTCACTCATGGTCAAATCCTTTCCATCCAAACTCACCACTTCATTGCTTGTCCCCCTCTGACTGCCAAAATGACATACCAAATATTCAGTCTTACTCCGACTTAGCTTAAACCCTCTAGATTCCAACCTTTGCCTCCATTGCTCCATCTTGGCATTAACCCCATCCTTAGTTTCATCCACCAAAACGATATCATCTGCGAACAACAAACACCATGGAACCTCATCTTGAATTGGTCTAGTTACTTCATCTAGAACCGTTGCAAAAAGAAAAGGGCTTAATGCAGACCCTTGATGCAATCCGATTGTAACAGGGAAATCTTTTGTCAACCCTCCACATGTCCTAACATTTGTTGACACAACCCGATACATATCCTTAACTAGGTCCACATACTTTCGTGGGATACCTTTCTTCAACATTGCCCACCAAAGTACCTCTCTTGGCACCTTGTCATATGCCTTTTGTAAATCAATAAAAATCATATGAAGATCCTTCTTCTTTACTCTATAAAACAAAAACGTGCATAATAAAACTATAATAGACCATCATCGGGTCATAATAGACAGGTTAAGTAACTTGTAGAGTAAACAAAACCCAATGCATCTTGTATGTAAACTGCTTTTTGTAAGAATAAAAAAAACAACGGGACAGGTTTTTCAATCATTGTTTAGTTTTGTTTCATTTCTTTATACTATGGCCCTTGTAAATTGCTCCGAAAGTTTAGGACTTTGATTTTAAAAAATAGAGTAAGTTAGGAGCTTTGGTCTTGCTAGGTGTGACATGATAGTGTTATTTACTACTACCTCCGTTTTTATTTAGTTGAAATATTTCTTTTATATGCTTGCCAGCGCACTATTTTAACGACTAATATTTCTAATTCTCGATATTGTAAAATTATAAAAAGTGGATATTAATAAAATATACATTGAGACGATTCAAACAAGATCCCACTTGACTATGTTTTATCGTAGCTATAAATCACAAAAGCTAGTCAAAATGTAGTTTGTGAATAGTGTAAAAGTCAAATGGTGTCAACTAAAAAAAAACGAAGGAAGTATTAAATACCAAAGAGTTTAAAATAGTATATAATGCCTAACATGTCTTGGCAGGAGAGTACATGCCAGAAAAGGAACAGACTGGGGAAACTACAGGTCAAACCTACCATGGGAGCCTATGGCCTTATGGGTTGCAGTTGGACCAGGTTTCATCTATAATCGTCTTGCTGAGAAAAATCCCATTTCCCCTCTTGCACAGGAGTGTAAAGTCTGTAAAACTTATCCAAATGAGCATATATACTATAGCATAGGTGAATAACATAAATTATTATTCTATTATTTCAGGGGAAACCTAGCAAAAGAGGGGCAAAGACATGGTTTATGGTATAGAATACTGAATAAAAAATAGACAAAATTGCCCAAGTGGTAACCATTTTTTGTTCTTTCAAATAAGACTGACGGCAGGGTGAATATTCGATCAGAGTAGTGAATTATCCAGCTAATAGCAAAGCACTGCAGAGCAGCCAATGTCTATCATGTGCAGCAACACATCATAAGCCAAGGGAAAAATCCACCTAGAACTGAGCCTGGAGAGCAGTTCAATTCACAGTCTAATCCAGTTACTGAACACTTATGCAGAGCCGCAACTTCAAACATTATCAGAATAGCACCTCAACCCTATAAACACTCTGATCCAAATATTCATCCTAGAAAAATACAGCTATAGCTAGACACAACTTGATGCATTACATTAGCTCAACATAGTAGCTAGCTCTGCAGTCTAAAGCCCACTTCTTCCATTGCATGTATAACCTCCCCCATTACCACACTTGTCAGTGGTAATACTAGTACAAGGCTAACCAAAAAAAAAAGAGTACTTTGAGGAACAGATATTAAACAGCCTAACAGTATGACCTGATGAGGAATGAAATCTACAGAAACACAGTCATCACCTGAAAATATTGAACTCAACCATATATTTTTTTAATAGTTTGCTAACTCTCTGGAAATTGATTTGGCTACAGACCTCAAAAACAAAGAAGGTGTGGATAGACCAACTCACAAGGATTTCACACCAAGGTCACCAAGAATCAGGAACCAAACTAATATTGTAAACCAGGGGCATAGTTGGTGATGGTTGTCCAGGGCACATTGGCACAATTCATCTGTAAAGTTAAAAATAAAATATAAAAAATAAAATAAAAATCACATTCAACATACCCACCTTATAATATAGAAGTGTCCCTAGAAGTAGGAGTGGAACAAAAGTAAAATACTTTTTAACCTCATGCCCAGACAAAGAATAAGAGATCCCATGGCTCAGATTCCAAAATCATACCAATAGCTCAGAGCCTCAGATCATTTACCAATTTTATGACTAAATTATATTTCTTAGACCAAGTTTGGAAGTCATAATTGTTTAGTGTCACACAAAAGATGAGATGCATTTTTTAGTATTGCAACTAAAAAAAAAAAAAAAAAAAAAAAAAAAAACGATAAACCATAGTTGAAGGCTTGAAACTAATAAAGTTGTGCATGGATTTTTAACACTAAATATTTACAAGATACATTCAATCCATCAGACACTATGTTACTCAGAACCATGTACTTGTGTTGGACATAAGTTGTGTACAAGTGTCAGACTACTAATTTATAAAAATAAAAAAAATCCAGGACTTTGGTCCAAAATGAAGCGCAAAGCTTCTATACTCATGTGGGAGTGCTAAACATCTGGCATGGGTACTTGACGTCATAAAGAGTTCAAGTAAGAAGGATCAATGGGGGACTATTTTCTCAAAATTAAAAGCTAGGAATTAAGAAAGGTAAAAGCTAACTAAACAAAAAGATTGAAAGCCATCTGGAATTCTAGATAAACACCTCACTCATCACATAATATGAGCAACCCACCTTATAAGCAGTTGAGCAAATCAACTCAGAACGAAAACCGTACTCTTTTGATTCTGTATACCATGCTTTTGTGTATATCTTATCCCAAAGATTCTGTTGGAGAAAAAAAAAAGTAAGAAACTCTACACGATCAATGCACATATTAAAAGAAAATCTGATTTTGACGAGTGATGACTATCTCCCATATAATTACAAAGCAATGTACATATAATTTCAAAAATAAGCCCATAATTTGTCAGAAAAATTAACATTTTGATAAAGAGAGATGGCGATGAAAACTTTCTATTAAATACCAATCATTCCTTTTCTCTGCTATCAAGTCTTAATTCTAAACCATCAGGGCCACCTTATTATATCACTCATCGCCTCTATTACACTGTGTCATGTACGGAATCTATCGGTGAAGACATTGGACTGTGAATCGACTGAATCCAATAGCCCAAATTCAGATCTTGGTGGAACTGTCTTCAACTTATCTGCTGGAAACTTTCCAATCCCAAGGAAGGGCACACTTAACAGCTAACGAAAAGAAACAATTGCTTTCTGAATTTACAGTTATTAAAGGTTGATACATCAAATATTAGGCAAGGTTTAGACAATATCCACATTAAAGGCCTAAGTTGCAGATACAAGGGTACAACTTTCCAACATCAGAGATTGTATATTTCCCAGTGAAGATTGAAGAGTTTTCTATATTTGACAACGCAAACTGCATATGGGGTTAGTAATATAAGATGGAAGATGAGTTCACTTTTTAAAGCACACTTGTTCTTTGCATTCTGCCTAGTCATTTTGTTCAGCTCCTTCACACATAGGATTAACAATTGAAATTGTATTGGCAGCTTCAACTCGAGAGGTTTCTTTAACACATATTAAACCCCACACACCCTAATAAAAACTGCAAGTTCAAGCTTCAACTTAATCATCGAAACAACTAACACACAAAAAAGGCAAGACAGGTGACGGTGACGTCTAGAGCCAAAATTTCTGATACGACTCATCTAGGTATAGCCTATAGGCATATTAAATTGCTTGATATCATGATATGCCATTTTTACGTATTGCATGATAAGGAACCCAAATCACATGAAATTCTCTGTTTCTCTCTTAGAGAAGATACCTATTTATACCGGATTCATGATCCTATGACGAACTATGCCTAGATGAAACAAAAAGAAAGTTGATTGCAGTTCAGTGCACCTAGATGCCCACCATAGCTATATTTGCAAATTGTAGATGGTCAAAATATGTGAATTCAACCTAACTCTTCCTTTGTGTGCAAAACTTCTTCGCCTGATCACAAGTATCTTAGTAGTGTAGGGATAACAAAATGAAAAGCTTAAAAAAGGGAAGGAGGTATAGTGTAAAATGATTTAAGAGTCAGCAATACTGAAAGTATACCCGGAAGCACAATCAACCAAGCATAAAACAACAACAACATTATTTATACCGATCAATGTACGATTTAATCATGCAATCCTGTATTAAAACCCATTTAGACTACATTAAATGCATGACATAATCACAAGTCAATCAGTTATGTTAATGCTTTATTATACTTAATATTTCCATTTAAACTCCTTATATATGGGTTGTGTACATCATTATCTGAAAAAGAATTATTAAGGACCCTTCTCGGAAAAAATACTACTCCCTTTCCTTCCCATTACAACAATGGCCTTGCTATCTCCCTTTCTCCCTTCTCGGAGTACAAAAATCATTCTCCCTTTCTCGGAGTACAACAATGGACCCTTCTCGGAGTACAAAATTCAAGCTAAGTACAGCACACAGAACGCTAGATACAACAATGGCCTTGTTATCTCCCTTTCTCCCCTTAAATTCATTCCCATTACCGCAATTAATAACCGACCATCAAAATTACCTTCAGGTACCCAAATTTTCTTCTAAAATAACCAGAAAGAACCGATTACATTTTACATATAATCAAACTATCAAAGACATCCACGATTAACTACTACAATTTACTCTCTACTCCATACTACTACACATAATTGAACCAAAACCCTAAATAAAATACTCCGTAACCTTTGAGCATCATTGGTGCAACAATATTCAAACCTAAGATAACATAGTTGAACATAAAATTAAATTTCAGCGAATTCGTCGATTTGTAATTATACATTAATTAATACTAATTTACTGTAAAAAGAAATCATAACTCAAGCAATTAACGAGAAGTATGGCATAATTTAAACTTCAATTATAGATGAGAAGGTTACCTGGCCAAGAATTTGCGGGAATTTTCCAGCATTTCGCCGTCATAGTTGGCGCCACTGAACCGGCGTCGCTTTGACGCCAATTTAGAGATGAGGAGTTTTAAAGAGAGTGGATCAGAGAATAATGGACTGAATAATAAAATGAGGGGATTGGGCTTTTATAGCTTTGACTCACTCAAATCCCAAATACCGTGTTTGGATTTGTGAGATGGTGCATATTCGAAGGCTTAGAGGCCCAATCCTCGGCTCTTTACTCGCTTCGTCTCTTTCTATCTGTCTTACTCTGTATTTGAATTTCAGGAGATCTTGGAAAATTTGAAATCAATTCTCATCATTTGTCCTTGTGGCTCTCTAAACACCAAAATGTTCTGAATTTGAATTTTGTTAATCCAATTTATCTATCTGGGTTGGGTAGAGAGACTAAAACGTTAAGGAAAGGGCAAATGACTTAACACCATAATGCTACATGTGTGGACTTGATAGAAGAGACTCAAGTTAAGATGTTTGATGATAGATGTAAACGAGAAAATGTGTGTATTTGATCATAGTTAGTTGTCGATATATCATACAATGTACTTCCGATTACACCATACAATTTTGGGTCGAGTCTAAACATATAACACCATATCATGGATTCACAGGACGAGCGCAAATCACTCGCACGGCACTTGAATCCCTAGACTTGATCCATGCCAACCTTCCTCATATGCGCAACAAGCATTATAAAAGATAACAATACATAACAATATTAACCTGGACAAAGACACATGCTTATATAGACTCATGGGTAAGGTTGCCCCATATGAGACTTGTTATGCCGGAGCAGGGAAATTGTCACCACGTGACAAACTCCCCCACCTAAGCCACGATCGCCCTTGTCGTGGCGTTGTAAAGTTAGCTCCACATCACTTCCCATCATAACACTAACGCACTAGCCTACCTATGGAGTCACATGTTTACACAACGCATCCTCTTTCTTAGCATCATAGCAAGACTCCCTCTCAACACCATTGCTTGTTGCTGCCTGCTTGCCTCCCCATGTTTCTACACTTCGTCTCTTCCTAATCACTTTAACATGTCCACTTGAATTAGGTTCCTCCATATAGTTGACAGTCTAACACAAACATACCCCTCAATCCTGTTGAGAGGCACTTCCCCACCTAGCTCGCTCGCCTACTCCCAAAGGTTAGTGCACCACCTATGCTACACTAAGTACTCAACTAGAGCACTCTTGATGTCGCCCCACACAACACATTGCTGATATCTTTTATAACCATGTCAGCTCAAAGTAGCTCGTGGTGGCTTGCCTAATGCAACATACAGACTATGGAGGTTACCTCATATGAAATTTGTTGTGTCAAGCATTCGGTCAAATGTCACCACAAAGAAAACTAGCCTTAACTCACATTGACAAACGATCATGTAAATTTTTTTTTTTTGTTTTTTAACTTTTACAATAAAAAATCTTGAATATCCCCGTCAAATAATAATCTTGAACATCCAATTGTATAGACAAAATAAAATCAAAAAACAAAAAGATCAGAGCAACAATGATCAATTAGCCACAGAAAAAACATTTACACCCAAAAAGGGTCCCATGAATGAAAACACTACACTATAAAACACATGAAAATAAAAAAAAGGCATAGCAAGATTTTTCCGTAAACTTATCTTCATAACTACCACTCCCATTTGCTCATTCAATTTCCTCCACCCAATACATAATCCACTCCTCCATCACCCACTTCACTACTAATAAAACTACTCAAATTTTCTCATTTTCCTTTCATTTCTTCTTCTTCTTCCTCCAATTCCCATTTTACTCCGCCATGGCTGCCGCCGTCACCGCCGCCGTATCTTTCCCTTCCACCACCAAATCATCCTCTCTCTCCTCCAGAACTTCCTCCATCATTTCCCCTGACAAAATCAGCTACAAAAAGGTAAATTTTCACTTTTTACTATCTGGGTATTTCAAATTTCTCATTTTTTTTTTACTGGGTTGTGTGAATTTTTGCAATTTTATAATGTTTGTTTTGATGATTTATATGGGTGTTGCAGGTTCCTCTGTATTACAGAAATGTATCTGCAACAGGGAAAGTGGGACCCATTAGGGCCCAGATCACATCTGACGTGGAGGCACCACCTCCTGCTAAGGTTGAGAAGCATTCAAAGAAAATGGAGGAAGGTATTGTAGTGAACAAGTACAAGCCTAAGAACCCTTACATTGGAAGATGTCTTCTTAACACTAAAATTACTGGGGATGATGCACCTGGAGAGACCTGGCATATGGTTTTTTCCCATGAGGGTAATTTTCTATATTACTTTTACCGTCAACATTTTGATCATATGATAGACGTTTTCGAGTACGATATATTAATATTTATTGGATTTTGTGTAACCAATACTTGGTCTGACCGTCTGAATGTCTGATACAAGAATTTGCGATATATTAGCTTGTTGTATGTTAAGAACATGTTTATGATGGTAATTTTCTAATACTTTTTTACCACTAACATTTTGATCACATGATAGGCACTTGTACATTATTTTAATAGTATTGATACTTGGTCTGACCGTCTAATGCAAGAATTTGCGGTATATTCATAATTATATAATGGTATATACTATATAAGTATATAGTATATAGAGTAAGGTACGAGTAGTGTTTTTGAATGATTTATATGTAGTATTGTAATGAAGTAAGTGAACCTTAATGATGCGCATATTTGTGTTATATGCTCAATATATTCATAATCATATGCTCAGTATACAATAAGGTAGTGTTTTTGAACTATTTGTAATGTAGTGAACCTTAATGATGAACATTTTTTCAAGCATGCAAGTGGATATCACATGAACTTGTTGTATGTTAAAAAATGGTATGTGAAATTCTATTGTTAAACATTAGGATGAGTTTGTAAGATTTGCCACTCAATCATGTGGTCTTACAGAATCTTTATGTGATCTTGATCTTCTTATTGGTATATTGGTATTTTTTCAACTCAAATTTTTGAATTTGGTTGCATGTATTTGTAGGAGAGATCCCTTATAGAGAAGGGCAATCTGTTGGGGTCATTCCAGATGGTGAAGACAAGAATGGAAAGCCCCATAAGTTGAGGTTGTACTCGATTGCCAGCAGTGCTCTTGGTGACTTTGGTGATGCTAAAACTGTAAGGATCTAACCCTATTAGATTATATTGTTTTGTGCTGTCTGTATTTTCAAATTTTCTAAGGAGTTGCGTGGTTGCATTATCTGAATGTTTTTTTATTTGAAAGTACAATTATATGAATAGTAAGGGTGAGAATGTGTTAGAGCTAAAAGAGTAAAGGATGCTTTGGTTTCTGTCAGGAATTCAGGATCAATAGAAGCATATCATACCATAATAATAATTTCAACTTCCTAATAGTCTATTATCACTATTTGTTTGTCAGTCTTGTTTGACATTATATATCTATCTTTCCCGCGGGGTAAATTTTTGTTTCTCTGTGCTTTTAGGTTTCGTTGTGTGTAAAACGACTTATCTACACCAATGATGCTGGAGAAACTGTCAAGGGAGTCTGCTCGAACTTCTTGTGTAAGGATGCCAAATCCTCATACTTTCCGAATTTGTTTTATCACTTATGTAGTACAATCTAGTGGTATAGTCATTGCTCGAAGGAATCCTACATTTCTTATAAGTTGAGGTCCTGGACTGAAAGTTTCAAGCAATGAGTAAATCATGCATACAGTGTGTGTGTGTGGTGTATATGTGGGCCATGTGGCGGCGTGGCGCCTTTCCATGAGCTATAGGATGAGTTTTACAAATGAAATCAATGGGAATGAGTGACTTTAAAAGGGATGTATCCCATACATGGTGACTTTGATGGGAGTGGGATGACTGAGGCTGAGGTGGTCTTACTGAATTACTCTGCATGCCTATTTTATATGATTTACAAGTGTTAGCTTCTGCTGATATTTCTGAGACCATATACCATTGACCTTGTAACTCACAGTTCAAAATTCTTATACTCTATGCAGGTGACTTGAAGCCTGGTGCTGAAGTGAAGTTAACAGGGCCGGTTGGAAAGGAGATGTTGATGCCCAAAGACCCTAATGCCACAATTATCATGGTATGTCCTATTCCTGAGCTTGTCACGTTGTCTTCCATGTGTATGTGCTACTGTCTATCATTGTTTTCCCCTTACTCAAGCCTAATGAACATTGACTCCATTGTTGTAGCTTGGAACTGGAACTGGAATTGCTCCTTTCCGTTCATTCTTGTGGAAGATGTTCTTCGAAAAGCACGATGATTACAAGGTAAGTTGAATATGCTTGTGTTACTGTCTTCTAGAAACTGTTGCTAGACATGGGAAACATGCAGGGCTGACAATCAGATGATTTCTTCTTGCTTATCTTGGAATTTTTTTAAAATTATTCTTTCCAACTTTCTTCCATGGACGTATTTCTAGTGGAGATCCTACACTCAAAATAGTAAAATTTACAAGTTGTGTGTATTCGATAAATCTATTGCAATTTCAAAATCAGATTGGTTTTTCTTAGTACTCTCACTGTTATATGCTCGATGTGCTAGTTGATGACTTCCTTAAATTTTCTGATTATAGTTTAACGGCTTGGCTTGGCTCTTCTTGGGTGTACCCACTAGCAGTTCTCTGCTCTACAAAGAGGTGAGTTAAATCTACATCATCTAGCTTAAAATTTTGGCAGTAAAAAGTGTTTTTCAAATGATTACTCTTCTAGACCAACATTTCTAACCAATTCACTGCTAAATGCTCACAGGAATTTGAGAAGATGAAGGAGAAGGCTCCAGACAACTTCAGACTAGATTTTGCTGTCAGCAGAGAGCAGACAAATGAGAACGGAGAGAAGATGTACATTCAAACCCGTATGGCACAATATGCCAACGAACTGTGGGAAATGTTGAAGAAAGATAACACTTACGTCTACATGTGTGGGCTTAAGGGAATGGAAAAGGGAATCGATGACATTATGGGTTCATTGGCTGCTGCCGAAGGTAAGCTGGCAGCAAATGGATTTCAGTGTTGAATCTAAATATAGAATCTGATGTTTTTCCAAACTAAACTTAAACATGGTGAGCTGATGGCTTATTTAATCTTTTCTTTCTTCTTTTCC